GGGGCGGGGCGGGGCGGTCCGTGCGTCTTATCGATTCGCGGGATGGATACGTACCTACGCGGCCGGCCTTGAACCCGATCCTCCAACCCTCACTCACACCCATGGGACCCACTCCACTGCCACCGCACCCCCGCCCCACCCTGGCATGGCCTTGGGCCCCATTGGGCCGGGCCCAACCCCCGCGCTCCTCCCAGTCCGAACAGCTCATCACGAGCTACAGTACCACTTCATCCACCCAAGATTGCCGCTCGCACTTTCCAGGAATGAAAATGGAAAGTATGTTGCTGATCGTTGGATCAGAAACCAGCAGTAGAACGATAAGATTTTGCTGCGTCACTTAAACAATCGGCCCATCTGCATGCTGACTGATCTCGTCATCCTGGTGGTGATGGTGGCCATGGTTTGGTGGTAGGTGCCCGCCCCGTTTGCGGCCTCCGCTGCAGGGCCAATGCCGTTGGAATGGGGTAGGTAACGGGTGAGGCCACCGAAATGGGGGTGGTGGCGCGTAGCGTGCCGACCTTGAAAGGAGGGCGGCTGGAGAGAGGGAAAGTGGTTCGGCCCGCCCCCTCCGCGCCGTCCGGGCCTGCCGGGTGGCGGCGGGGGGCAGCCTTGGCCCTGAGCTGGCCGGGCTGGCCACCCCCTGCATCGCAAATGTCTGCAGGGGCGTGTCCAGATCCAGATCCCGAGTGCTGGCTTTGCGACCGTCCCCGCAATGCGCCGCAATGCGATGCACCGCAAAGCGCACCGCCGTCATTTTGTCGGGCTGCTGCCCGTGCTTGTCCTGGGCATCCCATCCACCTCCACACGGTACCGGCCGGTGCGGGTGTGGGTACCCGTACGGCCCTGCACCCTCGCCCCGCAGCTCGGCGCTCAGCCCAGCGGCGCCCCACCCCGGAGCACCACTCTCACTTTTGGCGCCCCATCCCTGCCCCGCCCGCGCTGCTGCTGTTGCTGACGCGCCCCTCGCTTCTCTTTGTGTTGCAGCGCCGCCGCCCCCGCGGTCCAGCCCGCGGCCGGCGCCCGCGCGCCGCCCCCGCTGCGCCCCACTCTGCGCCACCCCCACCCTGGGCCGGGGGCGCTGGAGGGGCACTGGCGGCCCTTGCCCCCGTGCCGGGTGGCCTTGGCCCTGGCACAGGACCGCGTTGAGGGCCCAGAGGGTAAGCCTGCTCCTCTTCGAATCGATACACCTCCCCGCCACGCCCTGGCACAACCCTATAGCGCAGGGCGGGGCGGGTACCGCGCACCTGGCACCGCCTCGGGGATCTCAGGATCCGGACGAGGAGAGACGGCGAGGTGCGCCTTGCGCCGCATCACGGACGCAGGGGTTTAGGTTTCAATCCGCAAGGGGGGGGGGGGCGGCTGATGCGTTGCCGCAGTACCGGGCTGTGGCCGCCGACAGCCACGGTCGGATCCACAGGGCGTCGTCGGCGACGTCGCCCTCCCATTTTTGTCACTCTTTGTACAGGCTGCGTGGGCGCGGAGCTGAGCGGCGCAGCGTCCATGAAATAACCAGGCCGCACTGTACAGAGTCCCCCCCTCGCCCGGTCCCCTCTCGCCCTTCCCTCCTGCGGCTCCTCCGTGGCCTACCCCCACTCTCGCGCTCTCCCCTCCTCGGCTCGGAGCCCAACGCTGCTGGGCTGGGTTGGGTTGGTTGGGTTGGGTTGGGCCGGCTTGTGTTGTCTGGGTCGGAAAGCAGCACCGCGTTGCCAGTGAGCCTGCCCCTGCCCGTCCCGCGCCCAGCCTGGTCCGCCACGCCACGCCCCACCGCGCCCCACCGCGCCCCGCCGCGCCCCGCCCCGACCGCCCGCCGCCTGCTGCCCGCCAGCCTGCCTGGCCATCGTCACTTGGTCCTCACTAGAGTCCTAGAGGGGAGAGAAACGTAAACTCGAGAAATGC